GCTATGCTGAGACTCCTTAAGCACTCTCTAATTAGATGTCCTAGGTCCTCCCAATTCTTAGTCCTTTAATACCTGTTTTCTCTCCTCCTCTTATTCAGACCTTGCATCTTCCATTTAGTTTTTCAATTCATACAAAACCACATCCAGACCATCACCAATCGTTCGATACGACAAATGCTTCTTCTAACAACCCCACAATATCACCCCCTACCACAAAATCTTCCTTCAGCTTAATCTCTCCCACTCTAGGTTCCCACGCCGCCCCTAATCCCGCTTGAAGCAGCCCTGAGAAACATCGCCTATTCTCTCTCCATACCACCCCCCCAAAATTTTCGCTGCCCCAACACTTCACACTATTTTGTTTTATTTTTCTTATTAATGTAAGAAGGCAGGAATGTCAGGCCTCTGAGCCCAAGCCAAGCCATCGCATCCCGTGACTCGCACATATACGTAACTGAAGAACCACAAAAGAAGTGCAAATGCCCTGCCTCGCCTTAACCCATGACATTCCACCACAAAAGAAGTGAAAATGGCAGGTCCTTGCCTTAAGAGATGACATTATCTTGTGACATTCCTTTTCCTGGCTCATCCTGGCTCAAAAACTCCCCCACTGAGCACCTTGTGACCCCTACTCCTGCCAGCCAGAGAACAACCCCCGTTTGACTGTAATTTTCCTTTACCTACCCAAATCCTATAAAACGGCCCCACCTTTATCTCCCTTCGCTGACTCTCTTTTCGGACTCAGCCCGCCTGCACCCAGGTGAAATAAACAGCTATGTCGTTCACACAAAGCCTGTTTGGTGGTCTCTTCACACGGACACGTATGACATCAGCTACTCGGGAGGCTGAGGCAGGAGAATTGCTTGAACCCAGGAGGAGGAGGTTGCAGTGAGCCGAGATCACGCCATTGCACTCCAGCCTCGGCAACAAGAGTGAAACTCTATCTCAAAAAAGTCTTTAAAGTACTCATCTATGTTTATAAATGATGAGCTAAAAGTAAATAATTTTACCACATTTTGTAAAGTAGATGAATGTGGCAATACTGGTTTTGTTTTAAATATCCAGTCTTCCAATAGCCTAAAAACATTTCGTCTTAGAGGTACAATATTTCATCTTAGAGCCTCAGCAATTTTTCAGATACGGTAGAAAATAAATTTCCTTTAAACAGATAAATTATAATAATTCTACATTCATAAAATTAATATTCCCAACAGCAGGGGTTTTTTTACTTTATTTTAAGTTCCAGGATACATGTGCAGAGTGTGCAGGTTTGTTACATAGGTATACACGTGCCATGGTGGTTTGCTGCACCCATCAACCCATCATCTAGGTTTTAAGCCCCGCATGCATTAGGTGTTTGTCCTAATGCTCTCCCTCCCCTTAACAGCAGTTTTTCTACAGGTAAAAACAAATTTGGGAACCAGAATTGTCTACTGTCTTTATATAAATGATCATTACAATGTGGGAGGAGGTTTCTTTTGGTCACATTTGATATCATTAGTCACGAGAGCAAGATCTGGTAGGCAGGTGAAGCCTCCCACTCAACTTAACCTTAGCTAGCCCCTCATTAGAGGTTCTCTGTGGGGTTTGGATCTACTCGTTTTTAAAGGGATTTGGAGAAACTAAAGAGAATCAGAAGGGAAGAAAAGAAATGCTCAAAAGTAGAAATGTACTCTAGAAGTCAAAGTCAACTTTTGGGGTCTGTAACAAAGAAATGCAGGGCTCTCAAACCTGACCTCACCATGGAAAATGCATTTGGCCTTGAGTTAAAAAGGATTGCTTTTGGATCAGCCAACTCTGAGTGATTTTAGGCAAGGAAGTGTGCTCCAAGTCTCAAATTATGCCTAGCATAAAGATTATGCTAAGAAACAAATGGGAATGGTCTTTATAAACACTAATATAAATAACGCTTTAAGTAAGAATAAGGAATGACCATGAAGAAGAAGGCAAAGGTTAGTTCTTCCTCTCCCCCTAATTTTAAACATAGTAGGAAATAATGAAAAGAGAACATTTGCCGGGCGCGGTGGCTCACGCTTGTAATCCCAGCACTTTGGGAGGCCGAGGCAGTTGGATCACCTGAGGTCGGGAGTTCAAGACCAGCCTGACCAACATGGAGAAACCCCGTCTCTACTAAAAATACAAAATTAGCCGGGGTGGTGGCACATGCCTGTAATCCCAGCTACTCGGGAGGCTGAGGCAGGAGAATCGCTTAAACCCGGGAGGCGGAGGTTGCGGTGAGCTGAGATCGCGCCATTGCACTCCAGCCTGGGCAAAAAGAGTGAAACTGTCTCAAAAAAAAAAAAAAAGAAAAGAGAACATTTAAGTTAAATGAAAATATGACTAAATATGAGAAAAAGCCTACAAGAGGCGACCAGAGGCTCTTCATTCCTAGATGCCTTCAGATAGAAGAAATATTTTTCTTTGAATATTTCAGTATTTTGGGCCGGGCACAGTGGCTCACGCCTGTAATCCCAGCACTTCGGAGGGCCGAGGCAGGCAGATCCCCTGAGGTCAGGAGTTTGAGACCAGCCTCACCAACATAGTGAAACCCCGTCTCTACTAAAAATACAAAATTAGCCAGGCATGGTGGCACATGCCTGTAATCCCAGGTACTTGGGAGGCTGAGGCACGGGCATCACTTGAAACCAGGAGAAAGTTGCAGTGAGCCAGGATCTTGCCATTGCACTCCAGCCTGGACAACAAGAGCAAAACTCTGTCAAAACAAAAACAAAACAAAACAAAAAAACAAAGAACCAAATCAATATTTTCCTTCTAGAAATAAAAGTGGTAGGAATATAATCACAAAACATTTAAATTATACTTTTCCTCTAAAAAAGGGTTCTTACATTATCTCATTTCCAGTGATCCCTAAGGTGCCTACAACTCCAATTCTCTGAATTACATTTATTGTTCAATATGGGAAAATTTTTCCAGAGATGAGGGTGAAAATGTATTTTATAGCAATATCTGCTGATATAGAAGCCTCCTGGGGATGAAAACAGGTGTCTTTCATCTTCGAATGCTCCATGGCATCAGCCAACAGCCTCTTACACGGTGTTAACAGGAAAAAAAAAGACATTGTCAACTCACAGCCTGTGCTCAGTGTCCTAAGGAATTCCAGGGTATATTATAAAAAGTTGTATCTAACATCTGTTGAGCACGTCACACACTCTAACTTATGTAATTCTCACCACAGCCCTCTGAGGTATTATTATTATCCCTATTTATAAGAAAAATGAGACACAGAGAGGTTAAATAGCTTGTCTAAGGTCACACAGCTGGTAAGGAACTGTGGCCGGATATCAACCCAGGAGTCTGACTCCAAAATTCATTCCCTTAACCATGGAAATACTGAAGAGAGTCCAGATGTCCTGAGAAACCATTCTGGTGCCTCACCTAAAGGACCTACACATGTTAAATATATAGCTAAATAAGTGCTACAGCAAAATCCCTAGCAGTGACAGGAGACAATACACAGGCTATCAGTATTGTATGAGATTCTTACTGAATGCAGAGTAGTTATATTGAGGGGAATATTTTTTGAACCTGAGAAAAAGATCAAATAACCTAAAAAGCAGCATTGTTTACGCAGACAGCTGTATCATCACCTGATACTTTAATCTTAGCACACGAATGATGTTATCAATAAAGGGGAGAGGGAGTGTGTGTGTGTATGTGTGCACACGTAAGCACGCGTATGTGTATATAGGACTATTATGATACGGCATTTTGTTTATCTTAATAGGGTTGACTACAAGGGAAGAAAGGTTTAACAGGCAACTAGCCATGCAATAAGACTGAAACAGGCAAAACGAACTATTATAGGGCTTGTGGATGATTAGTTGTGTGGCCATTCACACGAAATCCACTTGCATAGTTAACTGTACCGTTACTACTTCTTTAAACTTTAGCTTGCCAATTTTCCTCTTCAAAAAGGAAATTACTAATTCCCAGAATTCCCTCGGTAATGAAAAATGTAAAATCTTGTAAAAAGATAAATCATAATTCTTCAAAACTGATTCTGTTGGAGTCTGAAAGAGCTATTGCCCTATGGGACTTGTGGCATACACAGATACTCTGAGAACAACCAAATAATTCTATAAAATGAAATGGCACAGCTACAGCTAAAGTCCCAGGCAGGGGGAGGAACCTGGAAGCCATTTGTAACAATCAGCTGGGAAAAAAGAAAAAAATCTTCACTAGGAAGTCAAAAGAGGAAGCTAAAAGCTGTTTACGTAGGTCTGAGAAAGCAGACAGATTTATTCTTTTCCTAGTTGTTTTTTTTTTTTTTTTTTTTTCAAATTTTACAGTGGGAGCTGGGAGACTGTCTTGTCTTCCTCCCCTGGTAACTTAGCACAAGGACGTTACTGTCAAGAAATGTTATGGTGGCTCGACATCTGTTTTCCATACCTCACCTCATTTTGTAAATGGAGGTGTTGATATTTCTATACAAAAAAACACACCTGTAATAACTGTGTTGCTGCCTGAAAGGCAAGCTATTATGACCAGATGAAAAAAAAAAAAAAGTGTGACTCGACACGAAGGCACGAGCATCAGAGTCTCACAACAAAAGAAACACCAAATTAGCCTCTCTCCCTGAAAGCCAAGGCCGTTTTCTCAGGCCGACCTCTCCATGCCAACTGAAGGTTACCAGCAGTTAAATTCTGTAATAAACCTCAACACTCTAGGGCCCTCCACTAACCTGCCACCGAGAAGGAAAAAAAGAAAACAAACAAAAATCCTAGTGAGCTGCCTGGAACCGTACGTTCTGGCAGAAATAGAATTCACACGCTCTGCTTCGAAACCGCATTATCGAATTATTCTGCCTCACTAGTTAAACACTATCTAAGTGGTGTGACCAGGGAAGGCGGACTTAAAAAAAAAAAAAAAAAGGGAAAGAACACCCCTAGGACTCGGCTCGATTCTGGCAGCGCCCTCTAGGTAGATCGGGTATACGTATCAGAACCTCCAACCCTGTCCTAACAGCTGTTCAGGTGAAATTAGAATCTGGGCTGCCTCTCCCCTGGGGCCTCCGCGAACACACGGGGAGAGGGGAGATGGGAGGAGGGAAAAGCGCGGAAACTGCCCACTCCATCAACTGATGCTTGATTCAATTACTCCGGAGAACTTAAGAACTAAATGTGGACATAAATCTGTGCCACGGTGGGTACCAGCGTCAGATCCAAAGAGACAGTATCTGAGCGCTCTGCCGAGCAGCCCAGGTGCGCGCTGGAGCGCAGGCAGAGGGCGAGGACAGTCCGGCTCCAGGAAGCCCCCCCGCACCCCGCTGCGCCCGGCCCTCACCTTTCTGCCGCAGGTACAGCATCTGATGCCGCTGGCTAGGTCGCTCCTGTAGCTCCTGTAGCACGCGGGAGTCGCCGGCACCGCTGCGGCCGCCCAGCACCACGTCGGAGCCCGAGGCCTCGGTGGAGCTGTCGAGGCTGTCGCGGCGCCGCCGACGGCCCTCAGCCCCGCGGCCCCCGCCCGCCGCCGCCTCCTCCTCCTCTGTGCAGCTGTACAGCTCGTTGAGCAGCCCGCTCACCAGGGACGCCGTGCGGCTAGTACGGACGCCGCGCGCTTCGCCGGGCTCCGTGTCCTCGTCGCCGTCCCACGAGTCCCGGGAGCCCCGCGGCGGCTCCGCCACTCCCCGGAGGGGCGGGGCTGGGGGCGCTGCAGGAATCGCTTCTTCCTCTTGGCTCTCCAGCCTCGCCTCGCCACCGCCGCCGTGGAATTCCAGCTCCGTCCGGAGCCCCGGGCGGCCCCCGCCGGTGGGAAGGACGTCCATGGTCCCCGAGGCGCGGCCACCCGGCTCCCGCTGCTCCTCCCGCCTCGCGGCGCCGGCCAGTTCCGGGAGGAGGCGCGGCCTCGTCCTCGCCACGGGTGCCCTCCCGGGGCCGGCGCCAGCGGGCTCTGGATCCCCGAGGTGCCCGGGCGTCCCCAGAGCCCGCACCTGAACGCCTCCCCTCCGCTCCGGACTGGACGAGGAGACGGCCACGCCACTGAGCTACCTGGAGCCACCTGCTGCCGGGGCCTGGCCTCTACCCAGAGCGCTCTCCGGTGCGCGAGAAGGCGCAGGACGTGGCCAGAACGCCGTCGAGAAGCCAGCAGCCCGAAGGGGGAGGGCGCAGCAGCCGCCGCCACCTTCACTTTTAATTAAGCACGTGATTTAACTCAAAAAGAGGGTGACTCTTGCCTCTTATTCAGCCGCCAGCTAGAAATAATGCCCGGGAGGGTTCTAAACGCCCATCAATAGTCCCAGGCCAGGAGCTCTCCTTCTTGACATACTTGGAACACAATACCAGCCCTTCTCACTTTCCCACCTGATCTGAGCGCCTTCAAAAGCCTTCTTAGTTTAGTCTCTGACAATAAGCTTTCTAAAACTCTCAACACCTGGCAAATATTTAGGACTTAATAACGCTGTGAACTTATTTCCTCCAGTGAAAAACAAAGCACTGGATTAAAATCAACGAATTCCCTGATACAAGATGTAACCAGAGTGAGTGTTTAATAAATGTTCTTGAGATGACCGAACTAATACGTTAATTGAGCTAGTTTTGATGATGGTAGAATCAAAAATTTACAAGAGACCATGAGAGATGTATCTTACACCAGACCTCAATAGAACTTGGAGCTGCCGCTCCACTGTAGATATTTTTGTGAAGTTAATAATTGGCAACATGTTTTAGCGCTTTTTGTATGTCAGGCACTGTTCGTAGAGATTTGCATGAATTATCCCACTTAATCCTCACTTTAACCCAATAAAGCAGATAAGTGTGGTTTTATTCTCACTTTTCAGCTGAGGGAGCTTAGGCACGGAGAGGCTAAATAATGTGTCCATTCACAAAGAATAAAGTGAACTTCTCATAAAGTGTCTGGCTTTCATGATGGATGAATATATATTAGTGAAACGCTATTAAATACTTGACCACACTTCCAAAAGGAGTAACAACACACCTGGTGAACAACAGCGGTGTTTCGTGTTTGTTTAGCACAGTTTTGTTTTCCAAGGCACTTTCATAATAGAGCCTGACCCTACAGGTAGAAATCTGGTGTACCTTGACACCAGCACAGCAATAAAAGGGCCCTTTTTGAAACTGGAGTTAATATGAGATAAGCAGAAGTTGTACTTTTCACTTAGGTATTCAGAATTTTAAATTATACTGGAAATATTATTTTATGATTTTATAACTATATTAATGACTACTGTTACCATTTAATGTTTAAATGTATGAAATGAGAGTAGAATTTATTATTATATTGCTGTTGTTTTGTTTTTTGAGGTCTTTTTCCCTATTGTCCCTGGCATTCAATGAATTCTGAGTCCTCCTTCATATGCCAAACTTTGCAACAAGCAGGAGTTTCAGAGGAGTAAACACTGAAATTGGATCTCTTTTTTTAGTTGGCTTCCCAGCCCTTTTTATCTCTGCCCCCTAAGAAGAGATGTGATTAACTATTAGTCTTCAGCACTATTCTCATTTAGGGAATCTCTATCAGGAACTATAGATAAAGAAACTCAAGGTGAGCTGAAGGGAAAAAAGAGACCAAGAAAACAATAGGTTATTGACATTCAACATTTCTAAATTAATAAGTACTTCAAAATTGTTTCCCATTCCCCATCACTACCAAATCTAAAGAGAGGAAAATGGCAAACTAAAAACTAACAAGGAAAGCACAGTTAAGATCATTGTACTTATTGGAATGATCTTCCCCTAGATATTGGCACGACTTTCCTCTCACCAGAGTCTCGTCTCTGCTTAAATGTTTTCTCTGTGAGCCAGGCATGGTGGCTCATGCCTGTAATCCCAGCACTTTGGGAGGCTGAGGTGGGCAGATCACGAGGTCAAGAGATCGAGACCATCCTGGCCAACATAGTGGAATCTTGACTCTACTAAAAATACAAAAATTAGCTGGACGTGATGACCTGCACCTGAGAATCACTTGAACCCAGGAGACGGAGGTTGCAGTGAGCCGAGATCACACCACTGCACTCCAGCCTGGGTGACAGAGCGAGACTCTGTCTTAAAAAAAAAAAAAAAAAAGTCTTCTCTGTGAATCCCTCCATGACCACCCTATTTGACATTGCAGCTGCCCATCCCCCAGCTTTTCCTTAGTTCTCTTCTTTGTTCTTTTTTTCCATAATACCCTCTTCCAACATACTACAGTACATAATCTGATTTATTCTGTTATCTGTCTTTTGCCACTAAAATGTAAGCTTCTGAGCGCAGGAATTTTGTCTATTTTGTTCATTGATATATGCCCATGATGTAAAACAATCCCTGGCACATTGTAACTGCTCAATAAATATTTGTTTAATTAACTAATTGAATGAATACCATGAAAACCAGAGAAAAAAACAACCAATTACCTACTTTCCTAAGAAAAGTTAACTTTAGTAAATATAATCCTAGAAGTGGTATTGGCAAAGGACAGCTGCTTTTCTCACCCTACATTACGGCCACCAGGAGACTGGCAGGCCCCACGCAAGTTCCCTGAAGCTCTGGATATAAGAGAGAACCACTGATGGCTGGGTGCAGTGGCTCACATATGTAATACCAGTACTTCGGGAGGCCAAAGCAGGCAGATCTCTCAAGACCAGGAGTTTCAGAACAGGCTGGCCAACAGGGCGAAACCCCATCTCTACTTTAAAAATACAAAAATTAGCTGGGTGTGGTGGCACACACCTGTAATCCCAGCAACTTGAAAGAATGAGGCATGAGAATCACTTGAACCTGGAAGGCAGAGGTTGCAGGGGGCTGAGATTGCACCACTGCACTCCAGCCTGGGCAACAGAGCAAGACTCTTTTCTGGTACCACATGAATTTTAAAATAGTTTTTTCTAGTTATGTGGAGAATATCAATGATAGTTAAATGGGAATAGCACTGAATTTGTAAATTGTTTTGGGCAGTATAGCCAATTTAATGATATTGATTCTTCCATGAGCCTGGAATGTTTTTCCATTTGTTTGTGTCATCTCTGATTTCTTTGAGCAGTGGTTTGTAATTTTCCTTGTAGAGATGTTCTACCTCCCTAGTTAGCTGTATTACTGGGTATTTTATTCTTTTTGTAGCAATTGTGAATGGGAGCTCATTCCTGATTTGGCCCTTGGCATGACTGTTGTTGGTTTTTAGGAATGCTAGTGATTTTTGCACACTGATTTTGTATCTCGAGACTTTGCTGAAGTTGTTTATCAGCTTAAGAAGCTTTTGGGCTGAGATGATGGGGTTTTCTAGCTATAGGATCCATGTCATCTGCAAACATGGATTGTTTGACTTCCTCTCTTCCTATTTGAATGCCCTTTATTTCTTTCTCTTGCCTGATTGCCCTCGCCAGAACTTCCAATACTATGTTGAATAGGAGCAGTGGGAGAGGGCATCCTTGTATTGTGCCTGCTTTCAAGGGGAATGCTTCCAACTTTTGCCCTTTCAGTATGATGTTAGCGGTGGGTTTGTTATATATGGCTCTTACTTTTTTGAGATATGTTACTTCAATACCTAGTTTATTAAGAGTTTTTAACATGAATGGATGTTGAATTTTATCAAAAGCTTTTTCTGCATCTGTTGAGATAATCATGTGGTTTTTGCCTTTAGTTCTGTTTATGTGATGAATCACATTTATTGATTTGTGTCTGTTGAATTAACCTTGCATCCCAGGGACGAAGCCTGCTTGATCGTGGTGAATGAGTTTTTTGATATACTGCTGGATACAGTTTGCCAGTATTTTGTTGAGGATTTTTGCATCAATTTTCATCAAGGATATTGGCCTGAAGTTTTTTTGTAGTTGTTGTATCTCTGCCAGGTTTTGGTTTCAGGATGATGCTGGCCTCATAGAATGAGCTAGGAAGGACTCCCTTCTTTTCAATCTTTTGAAATAGTTTCAGTGGGAATGATATCAGCTCTTCTGTGTACATCTGCTAGAATTCAGCTGTGAATCCATCTGGTTCTGGGCTTTTTTTGGTTGTTAGGCTATTTATTACTGCCTCAATTTCAGAACTCATTATTGGTCTGTTCAGGGACTGAATTTCTTCCTGGCTCAGTCTTAAAAGGGTGTATGTGTCCATAAATTTATCCATTTCTTCTAGATTTTCTAGTTTATGTGTGTAGATGTATTCATACTGTTCTATGATGGTTGCTTGTATTTCTGTGGGTTCAGTGGTAGTATTCCCCTTATCATTTCTCATTGTGTTTATTTGAATCTTCTCTCTTTTCTTGTTTCTTAGTCTAACGGTCTATCTATTTTATTAATTTTTTCAAAAAAAAAAAAACCTACCTCCTGGATTCGCTTATCTTTTGAATGATTTTTCGTGTCTCTATCTCCTTCGTTCACCTCTGATTTTGGTTATTTGTTGTCTTCTGCTAGCTTTTGGATTTGTTTTCTCTTGCTTCTCTATTTCTTTTAACTGTGATGTTAGGTTGTTAACTTGAGATCTTTCTAACTTTCTGATGAGGGTGTTTAGCTGTGTCCCAGAGATTCTGGTATGTTGTATCTTTGTTCTCTTTAATTTCAAAGAGCTTCTTGAGTTCTGCCTTAATTTCATTTATTTACTCAAAAGTCATTCAGGAGCAGGATTTCCATGTAATTGTACGGTTTTGAATGAATTTCCTTGTCTTGAGTTCTAATGTGATTGCACTGTGGTCTGAAAGATTGTTATGATTTCAGTTCTTTTGTATTTGCTGAGAAGCATTTTACTTCTGATTATGTCATTGATTTTATAGTAAGTGTCATGTGGCAATGAGAACGATGTATTTTCTGTTGTTTTTGTGTGGAGAGTTCTGTAGATATCAATCACACCCATTTGATCCAGTGCTGAGTTCAGGTCATGAATATCTTTGTTATTTTTCTTTCTTGATGAT